ATATATATATATATACACACACATACATATTACACACTGACAATCTGTTTGGATCTAGCACAAAAATCAAGGTATGTTGCAGGAAATAAAAGCATCTTTAACTTTAATTAGATAAATTTGTACCTATCAGAAAAAAAGTGAATATACAGTACAGGTATGTGAAGTCCTTCCTCTGGCATTGAGTATGAATAACAACCCTAATTTAGTCCAGGTCATTTTTCCACCATCGGAAGACAGAGGGCGCACCAAGCCACTTGTAGTCTTTTTCGCCTTCCTTTTGTAAGACAAATGTTGCTGCAATTCAYCAAATTACTGTATTTATGAGGKTTTTTTTTWATATATATTTTTATTCAAGAATAGTCTACGTCSCAACAAGAGAGTCTTTTCCTGTGTGTAGCTCCACCGACGTGAATGTGAAGATAGGTCAGTGAAAYCGGAGATAAAGCGGCTGGTGTCAACGTTGAAAGACGTGCTGCTTTCATAAGCATCAGGAAAAAATCATGATTAAAACGCAAAGATGTTTTGCGTGGCTTGTCTGCCTTCTGTATTCACAAGCTTAGCCTATTTGTATCATGATGATATTCATCTTTTCAATTACTCTTATCGGTAACAACTCCTGCATAGCCAAATGTCAATAAGTTGCCAAAATAAGGAGAATGCAGCACAAAAACATTATTTTTATTATTTGTACAAGTCTGTAAGAGGGCTGTAAAGTTACTCGAAAGCGTCCCCATTTCCTGATTTAATGAAGCGGAGAAGTTCATTGTATTTTTAAAGAGCACCCACACTTCACCTAGACGTTTGGATATCCGACAGTACCTGAAGGCAGCAGCAGAGTCACTGTAGTGGGCAAGGCCACAGTACCACCATCATTAACCAGCCGCCGCTCTCTACGGCCACAGTGTACTAACATCAGGAGAGTTTGATCGGCAGTAACAGTCTACCGGGGCGGAATTCTCCTGATAAGGGTAAGCGTTTCTGAAATTAGATGATTTTCAGCGCGGTTTCATTGTGCTGAAATGGGGTTGAAAAAAATGTCTGTTCTTGCCGCAGAGACTCATGCTGGGATGTGTCTTATGTCCTCTGGCCAATCGTCGCTATTGTTCGACATTTTAAAACCTTTTAAATTGTTTACTTAAATGTTCACTGTAAACAGACCGAGAAACCTGTTCATGTAGATTCGTTGTCATAGAGTAAAACAAAAACAATGACAACTTGGCTACAGCTAGCTAATACATAACACCTACTTTTCAAAGTCTCCTAGTGTTGCGTTTAGGTCAATTACGGAAACGACAAGTTTGTTTCATTTCATGAAAAAATGCTTTGGAACGTTTATGTCAAAGCTAATGTTCRGCTAGAGTAGGACTGCGGTTAAATGTGTAAGTTACGACGATGCCATTCTTCAGAGTTTTTATGTTCTAAATGCTGTTATACTGAAAYATATATACGATTTTTATTCCGTCCCTGAAACTGCACATTTAGAACGATGCAAGAGTTTCTGGAAGTTTCTCATGATCTGATTGGTTGCTCCTACAAGTTGCCACATCACTTCAAGTCTTCTTCTTCTTCTTCTTCTTCTTCTTCTTCTTCTTCTTCTTCTTCTTCTTCTTCTTCTTCTTCTTCTA